GGGGGGGGGGTTGTTGAGCAACTCTACCTGCTGTGCTCTTGTCTACAGTTGTCTACTGGGGTTGTTTGTATGCTTCTTTGGTTAGTTGCGATGTTAAAGGCATGATCTGTGATCCAAAAAGGGTGGCCCCTCGCCACCAGAATTCAAAACGTGGGATTGTAATGTGCTTTATCTGTCAAATGTAGACAATGCAACTACTAGATATCTGACTAATTATGTATGTTGTTACTATTATGTTATTGTTGTTTACATTTGGGATGCAAACACAAGCAGACACGTTTAGTTAGGACTGGCTTAAAAACACAAGGATAAAGCTGATATTTTTTTAACAACAATCAACAATCAACAATCACACTAGCAGGTCACACTGTTCAGCTGAAGCCTGATTTACTTTATTTCTGCCATAGATTGATACCATTATTGTCCAAAAACTATGAAAAACACAATGAGCCACAATGTCGCACTAGATTTGTTCCTTCATTACCTTGAACATGAGCAATGTAGTTTATTTTGACTCAATCCTAGTGCCCTACTGACATTAATACCCACTAACGCAGCAAGTATGTATTATAATCCACAGCTGAAAACAGTTCTCTAGAAATGTACTTAATCCTGTTAGAGTAACATTGGTTAAAATTACAGTGCCCAACTATTTAAGGAAATTAGTAGCAATGATTGAGCTTGTGGCCGGCTGCCACAGACAGGGTAGGAAGGCGGAAAATATTGAGAGACGTCATAGAACACATCATTGGTTTGGCTTATCCTTTAAAAAGGCTCATTTTACATCAAACTTCATATACAAATTAGAGGGTGGGCTATCCTTTGTATGACTTTGTATGCTCTCACATTCACTTTCACGACTGAATAGAATCGGGGTACATTGTTGTTGTCTTTGTTTTGGATTGTCATTCAGGCATTGTAAGCAGTTGACAGGATGGTGATAGGGTCTCGGCATATCTCCATTAACACAGGGGGCTGAGTTGACCTCTAAGCTGCTCCCATCCTCTAATTTTATCTTTGGAGACCTTTCCCCTGTTCTGTTCTGCGTCCTGTTCCCTTCTTGTGTTCAAACTGCAAATATTGAAGGTTTGGGGTAACACTAAACGGTACAATTTGTTGGAAAAGAATTTAGCTCGAAGATTATTTTGCAGCTTTGCACGGTAGCTCTTTTTACTTTCTTGTCAGCACTTGCCTGCCTCTCGCATATTGATGGCTGCCTCAGATTCAGATTCAGACAGACATTCTGTTTCTTTATCTTGATACAGTTGTGTGTGGACACACCCGACACACACGCACACAGGCAAAAGCATGCTCACACACACAAAAATTTAAATAATCATGCTTGTTTAATATCCAATTAACTTTTTTCTTTGTCCCCATTTGTCTTTTTCTCTTCACAGGAGAGGCAAGAAACACAGCATTATTCTTCGAACACAGCTCTCCGTCAGAGTTCATGCTTGCATCGGTGGGTAATAAACTGCACTGTAATCTAAACTGTACATTTGTCACATCTCACTTCATGATGGTCAATTTATCTTTCTCATTCTATATCAACTATGAGGTACAAGCTTTAATTACCTCCATTACCAGTGGATTATTTTATTGAGGTCCTTGTTGAATTTACACAGTGGCAGTTTTGGGAAACAGCCTAGAATCTTAATTTGAGTGAGAATTAATGGCGTTTCAACAGCACTGTGAAAAACAGAGCACTGGCACAGAGCAGAGACTGAAAACATTTTATGTCTTTGGAGTTACTGTGTTCTGTCACTTTGTTTTATTGGGCCTCCTGGTGTCTTTGAGTAATGTGAAGGAACTAGCACAAGGAGTTGAGTGAAAACACATGCAAACATGGATGCACGTGGCATGCGTGCAAACACACACACACACAATTAACTTATCAAAAGTTGTTTTGTTATTAAGGATGTTAATTGCTTAAGCTTTCACTAACAATGTCGAGTTCCTGTTTTAGCCTTTACTTTTCCTGCATCTCTCTGGCAAGATGTAACTGATAAATAGGTGTTAATTTTTTTGCTACCTTGTTTAATCCATGCACAATGTAAGAAATACATGCACAAGCCCTTGTAAAGTAATTTGCCAGTGTCTTGTAGGGTTTGTTAACAAAGAACACTGTAGTTGTCTGTAGCAGATCATGGAGGAGCTCACATTCTCACACAGACACACAGTGCCTCCTCGACAGTCTTCAAGTGTAAAAATAACCCAATGCCTGGAAAAGCTATTAGTCAGTAAATTGTCAAAATTTGGTTGTTTCTCTCTAAAGCAGTAGGAGTACACGAAAGGCCGAGACATTTTTAATTTGAATGAAGTCACTATGATAGTCGTTTTTGGTTATTTATTCTACCTGCTGATTCATGACGTGTAATACAAAAGTTTGGAAAGTCCAGTGGGTCTTTTACATGACAGCTCATTCAACGAGTGGTAAGACACAAAAGAAATGAGAATGACAGTTTTTGCTTCATCTTGATGAGGTCTAGTTTGCACATGTTTACAAAGAGGATTTCTCTTTGATGCTTTTGACACTTTAATTATGTAACTGAAACAGTAAACCTATCATGTATTATATTATCAGGTTTTTCAAAGATTGCTAAATTCCTATTATATAATATTGTTGGGAGATGCTCCCTGATGTTATAACACTGGATACCTAAAAGACATTTCCAGTCTTTGCCTGATGTGACTATTTGGCTGAACCTTGTCCACACACTACGCTGAACTGGCTTTACCTTATTCTCTCCTCCTGCTGGTGCTTGGCTTAGCTTAGTGGAGCCTGGGGAGTGGCAAACAGACTTGCCACTCTTTTCTAAGTGGATGATGACCCTCTTTTTCTCTAAGTTGACAGCCACCTGTTGCCCTTCTCTAGTCTAGTCTAGTCTTCCTCAGTGACGGCCCGCGTGGCTAGCTGATTTATTTCCTCCAAGCGAGGTGGTCACTGTTACTGTAACTTGTCCAGACATTTGAGCCTAATTTTATCTGACTAGAGGGCTTACCTCGTAGCCCCATGAGTGCAGAATTACTGGGTGATTTTCCTGTTCCACACAAGAGATAATTCGTTAGTCTTCCAAAGACAAATGGCGTGGTATTCTTTAGGCTGTGCACTTGCACTGTATTAAGGGATTGAGCATTGCCCTGCTGTCAGTTTATAAAGACCAAAGTGTCCCCAAAGAGGAGCCCACTTATTGTCAGTTTTTTTTTGCATACTCTTTTGTCTTTCTATAATGAGAGATGTTATGCTGTGAAAAAAAGCTGCGCTCTGTTACAATGACTTTCGTTGGGAGAATAGCCAGCACAAAATGTGCAGAGGCATCAGGGTGACTTTAACACTGATTTTCAGAGTCTCTGGAAATCATTTGGAAACGCTCCTTTTGTTTGAGTCCGACAAGCTTGAACTAATAGCACCACTCTTGTGTTAGCTTTAGGTCAAAGGATACTTGTATTAAAGATTGCAAGTGCTGTTTGGATGTGATTCTTTTAATGTTAAATAAAATCTCACATTTTGAATGTGCCCCCACTTAAGATTGGGAGCTAAATGAGCACACCCACATAGTAAAGATATGTTGTTTAAATCTCAGAGGCCTCCTCCATTAACATGACTGATGAGTTGGTTAAAATCATGTATGTAATCTGTGTCTTGTGGAAAACCCATTACATGTATTTTAAGTTTTAGTTAAGTAGTACATAACTTATGTTGTTTATGTTAAATGTTTTTTTTGGGATTTCTCCAAATGTACACATCACAGAACTAGGTTTCAGTGTGTGTGTGTGTATGTGTATGTCTGTGCGGCAGTGTGCTTGTGTCATGAACCACAGCAAGACTTAATCCAGGCTCCCCTAATCATAGTCATTAGCACTCACATACACATATGGTTTTATATGGACCAGGCGGAAATCTGTGCATCCGAGTCAGCGGAGGAAGGAAAGTGCTCACCCAAAGAGCTAATAGTTTATTAAACTACTTTTTACCAATCCACCTCTTTCACAGTGATTTGTTGTAAACACAGTAAAGAAGTCCAGGCTCTTTCTGTATTGTCTGCTGGAGTATATAACCCTGTACTCCAAATGAAGCCCTAATTACCACATTATTAATTAGGGTTTTAGTTTCAGATTATTAAAGTATTTCTGATTGGCCTCCAGTATGAGCCTTCCTGGAGTTCAAAGGCCAAAATCCATGTTCCCAGATCATACATATAGTGACTATAGCTGTAATAGTGGATATTTGTCGGTATGCGTGTTATACTTGATGGGTGCATTGTCCTTTCATGGAGAAATAAAAAAAGATTACTTTTGAGTTTATTTGTTTTTGTCATTAGATATCCAGTAGTGGTGATGGTTTGATCTTTGTTTATATTTGTTTGACCAGCCTGGGATTTAGAAAATAAACTCAACTTGTCTCTCTCTGCGTGTTAGCATTGGCCACAGCCTGTTTAAATTGCCGGGCTGTTATTGTTGTCGGTGGACTAGATGTGGTAGCTAGGGCCTGATTAAAGCAGTCTTGTGCTTATTTTAGTGTTGTCTGCAAGTACAGCAGGTCCTTGTCTTTTGTGTCATTTTGTTTCTGAGACAGCCTAAGTCTCTGTGATGTGACGGTATGGAGAATTCAAGACGGGGAGAGAGACAGGGAGAGACTTTAGTGTGGGCCGCAGAACGTTTAAGTGCGGATACCAAGTTAAGAATTAACAAATGTCACATATGTTTTGTAATCATCAGCAGCTTTTGCAAAGTAGGGTCTCCAAACAAGCTTTTCTTGAGTTCATACAGATGTACAGTCAGAAGCTCTGCTCCTCTTGCAATTAATGACATTTATGCAATGCTGGGCTAACATTTGATGTGGTAAATCTATCAACTGCAATCCAGAAAATTCTCCTTGATCCCCAGAAAATCATCTTGAACTCACATCCATACTCTTGCAAATCATTTTATACAGAGCCAGCTGTACACCAGTCACACATTAGATTAGTTGGTGGCATAAAAGTTTATAGCAAGTAGTTATTATTCACAACTGTAAAAAATCATTCATTTGAAAGCTGAAATTTGTTGGTATTCCTCTTTAAGAGCAGGTTCATCTGTCAACACATTGATCCCAGCTGAGGAGTGACAGCCCTAATCAGAGGTGACACATTCTTAGTGGATTATCTGCCTTGTGTTTTACAACCTCTTATAATCCGGGCTCAGCGCATGATTCATTGTGACCGCTGTTGACTTACGTTTCTTTTTTACGCTATAATTTTGTCAAATTGGTAGTTTTGATCATCAGGTTGACAACTGAAAACTCTGTGGTTGTTAAGATGGAAGAGGATGAGCAGTAAATTCTCCACGAGTATCCCTCGGCAAACCATGTTGGGAGATGAGTTCTTGGCAGCTAACAACATAGTTTCATGGAAAAATACACTGTTAAGTTTGGGCCTTTTCAATGCTTGTTTATCCAATTAATGTATTATTAAGTGTGTGTGTGTGTGTGTGTGTGTGTGTGTGTGTCTACTGTGTGTGTGTGGGATGTCAGCACATTGACTTAAGACAATAAGATCACCTGCGGGTTATGGTGGTGCTCCCAACCACAGTGCCTGTCTTTTCCACACCCTCTGCCAGATCTGCACTAAGCCATCTGCAGTTATGTGAACACACATAAAAAACAATTCCAGTAGGTAACCTGCCTATTAAAAAGAAGATCAGCTTGTTGAAATGTCTGCTTTCATTTTGTAAATAGCCAAGAGAGTTAATTATGCCTGTGGTTATGACAGTCTGTATTATTGCTCTATCACAATGAACCTTTGAAATGGATCACATGCAGAGTCAAAGTAAAGCAATCAAACCAAATATCTAGTCATGCCAAATGAAGAATAATTAAAAACATGCATATCACATGGCGCCCATCAGAGACAGAGGAAGATCAAATGGCTTGGTCTCTCCTCTCTTTGACTTCCTGCAAACAGACCCCAAAATGGGATCATGGACTTATAGTCACCCCAAAAGGCCAAGCAAAACAACACTATGCCAAAGAGGAGAAATCTGAGGCAGCAAAACATCTCAAGAAGAAAAAGCGAGTGGAGTGGAACTTGCTTTTTTTTAAATCACAGCTGATAGCAAGACTAGATCAGTTTCGGTTTGATGGTATCACTCACCTCACACTTTCTCTCACTCCTTTTTATATACTCTCTGTTGGCCATGAGCCCAACAGCCCCACGCAGACAGATAACAACATAGCTTAGGTTAATGCATCGTTTATGGGCAACAGTACAGGACAAAGTTCCCCTAATTTTATACCTGTGTTTCTGGGTAGGATTAGGGCAAATTGTTAGCTCTTTGCTTCAAATACTGTACAAGGTTATAGATTACTATAACATTAATTCATATAAGCACACTCATATGCTCGCGTTCACATGCACGCACTCATGCAAAGGCATGCACATATTAAGAAGTCATCTGGTTCCAGTTGTAAAGCCCCTCAGTGCG